CAATAATCTGCCAAATTAAGTCAAGAAAAATAAGGCCATAAGAAAACCAATTTGCTGGCACCATTATAGCTCTGGACAAAGGACAGCAAGATCATCTTTGAACATCTCTCCAAGAGTATTTTAAGCTAGCTAATACACAACAGGCATGGACAGGGTGAAAAATAAGACATATGCACAGGGAAATTTTAAGAGCAAAAAAATCTATCTTTAGGAATAAAGATATTGAAATAGTGCTTGTGATCATTTTATTTGCACAAGGAAGGCTTAAAAAGAAACTCTTTTGAGAAATGAAAGATCATCAAATCCCTAATAACTGCAGTTTCCTGAACAATTAAAGAAATTCACAAGATTACGACCTACTCAGGAAATGACGAATATTTTTGATTTTTATGGAAGGATTAAAAGGGCACTTTTATCTATAGCATCTTATAGCATATAGTGCTTCCATAAGAAGCCTGTTAAGTAATTAAGCTATTTTTATTCTTTGTTCATTTATTTCAAGAGTACTCGACACGGCAGTGGTCTGGAATAAAAGAAAACATTGCTCATTTGGATAGGTAAAGTTTTGTTCTAAAAGGCATTTACCAGAGTTTTCTTTTTTTTATCTATTGAAGTTGGACCTTAGAGAACAATTTCCATTGTACCAAACTTATTTCTAATACATCAGCAGAAATGTCCTTTAAGTTACCTAGTCTAATTCTTCACAAACACACTTTGTAAGGCTGCCCTCAATGCATCATCCTAACATTGTTTGGCCCTGATAACATTCTGTGTGCAATGCTCCTGTTTGGAAAAATCTGCTCTTTTTAATAATTGATTCAATAAACTATTGACAAATGATTTGTATAATATAGTATGGCCAGCAAGCAAGGTTTGTCTCTGTCAGTACACACCACATTCAACCTGTCCACAAATGTTGCCACGTTCCCTTTATGTTAGAGCTCCTTACGCCATCCTGACTAGCAACCGAAAGATCAATACACTGTCTGCTGAAAACAACAGGACATAACAAATGAATAATTTTATTTACAATAAAAGCCCCAGTCCCCAAATGGATTCCACTGATGTTCAAATTCATTTTTCATGCTCAACTCAAGATGAGAGGTAGACACAGCACAACGCAAAGGGAGAGAATGGGGAGAAGTATTAACCGTAGTGGTTCAAATTTATTTAAGCTGTGAACAATAGCTGGGCTGTGGGCTGTGCTGAAGTACTTGAATAAAATGTTCACTGCAGAATTCTAAAGATGCAATCTCCAAAATGTTTCTGTTTTCTTAAGACATTCTAAAAAGCATTTTCCAGTAACAAGAAATTAATGGAGTAACAGCATTTTGACATATTCTTCTAGAGTGTTGTACCAGGGAGGTCGAAGCCTATTCAACGGACTTTAAACACTGCAATGAACAGAAGTGTTTGCTTTAGGGGGGACAAGGAAGGCGTGGAGCTGCTGTTTTGAGAATGAAGTAAATAGTTTTGCTTTAAAAGCATATCTTCAGCTCCTGATCTGATAGTTCTTTTCTTCCACTGAAAGTTACGAAAAAATCAGTGAACAAAGTCATAAGAAAAAAAAGGTTGAGGGTGGGGGAGCAAAATGTTAGAGACGACACAGTTCAAAGATGACATTTACAAGTCTCATGAATGCACATTCCCCAAAGGCCACTTGAATACTTTTTAAAAGGAAATGATCAAAAATACAAAATAAAAATTTCTACTTCACATAAAAATGACAATATACTGTCCTTAACATAAAGACTTGTCCACTAATGGATTAACATGGAAAAAAAAAAAAAAAACACCTCAAAAACAGAAAAGAATTTTCTCCCATTTGCCATCAATTCATTCACTATTTTACACTTAGCTTGGTACACTTACAACACAGAAATATAAACAGAATTGTAACAGATAAATCATGAAGGGAAAGTTGGAAAAATACTGCTTGAATATGACACTAAAAAATCTGGAATAAAATGGTTATAAGACTTGCCTTCATCCATGGGAATACTGAAAAAGGCAAGATTTCAGCAAACCCTATTGTCTCATTTCATTAATTGCAAAGATCCATGTGCTCCTGTTTACAGTTTCACTTAAAATTTAGTCAATAAAGTTCTTTTAGATGCAAAGTTAAAAAAGATATGTAAGAGCAGGCTCTGTCCCGCCCCTTCCCAGGAACTAATGACTCAGGGCAGAGACAAACAGGAATGCTCATAGTTGTGAAATGAAACAGACTGGGATAAATGTTTGGCATGGTGCCTGGAACAGAGTAGGAGCTCAGTAATAAACTGCTGAATGCGTCAACACGTGACTAATGAACCAAGTGTCACAAAAAGGACAGGATAGTTTTTTCCTAAAAAGGCGGGACAGATATCAAAGCACTTTAGATGAAATGACAAGGATGAGAAGTATCACAAGGTGAAGAGAGTCAAAGGGGAAAGCGTGATGATGTAAACACATCATCTGTTTAGGAAAGCACTGGAAAGTGCTAAGCAGTTTGGACTGTATCCTCAAAAAAAAAAAAGAAAGAAAAAAGAGAAGAAGAAGAAAAAGATTCATTTGTTTCATTAATTGTTTGTAAGCAAGGGAATAAGAGAGGGAGATGATGGAAATTGTGGATTAGAATGAAGCGGAGGCTGGAATGGAGAAGTCCAGACACAGGGAGGGTGCAAAAAAGCTAGATGGTCTACCCAAGGGGCTAAATGAGGGCAGACTGAATAGAACCCCAGTGAAAGAGAAAAGCCAATTGAAGACATCTCACCATTTATTTTATGAAATGTTAGTGGGCAGAGCTGTCCACAGCTTCAATTCCCAAATCACCAGACAAAAGATATCCCCTTCTTCAAGCAAATAACTTATTAAGATTCTTCTCACAGTTGTCACTTAACAGAGTTTACAAAGGTAAAATAAAATAAAAAGTTACAAAATCATCATATAAAAAGGATCATCTGAATACATTATCGATACCACTTTAAACACAGTAGATGTGAAATAGCCTGACAGAGAGTCCCAATTACAAAAATGTTCCAGTTCTCTCTGTTCTCATCCTTGGAAAGGGCCGGATCCCTCTTGCTCCATTCCAAACAAACGAAGATTTGATAATTTTAATACATGGTTCCCCATGTCCTTGGCATACACTCAGATATGGTAACTGACCAGAACTTATTTCCAAAATGGTAATTCCAGTGCCATCTGGAAGAAAACTAATTATCATTCACTAGTTGCTCACTATTCATTGCGCTAGAAGCATGTAGCTCATTTTCTTGAATTCAAAAACATATAGGACCTAGGTCTTACACATCGCACTTTCAGAGTTGGTTAAAAACACCATGAAAAAATCAAGATATAAGTGAAAATTCACGAAGCAAAATTCATTCCATTATTAACCATTAAAAAAAAAAAAACCAACACTGCAATTCTACAACTTCACATTTCCTCAGTCCAAGATTCGTTCATCTAAATTCACATTTTCAACCCAGGTTCACTCATTTCTTTGATAGAAGTCAATGAAAGCTGGCACTCAAAGAGAGGTGGCATTTAAACCATGCTCTTTTGAAACTGGAATTCTAAGACATTTTACTTAAAAAAATTCCTCAAAAGAAAAAGACAATCACAAACTTGCAGTAAAATCAAATGAAAAAAGAAAATGCTTCTGTTATTTCAAGAACTTCAGGTCTTTGAGAACTCAATATAAAATTGGTATGCAAATGAAAATTTTTTGTTGAATAGGACCTTTCTAAATCATTCTAGTGTTTTTGTTTTTTTTTTTTTTACTTCAATAAACAAAATAATGAGATTTTCTAATATTGAGTATTTATAATTTAGGCTATTTTTATAAATTTAAAAAAAATATTACCAAAAAACTTATATAATATTATTTACTAGTTTATTGCTGTGATCATTAGTTTTACAAATTTACAAAATTAACTTAGAATTTGGATTCAAGGAATTGAGTCCATTATAAAATCACAATTATATTCTGATGCATGTTTTCTTGTTTATATTTTTTCAGTGTGATATGGTTTCATGGCCAAGAAAGATCCTTCATAAAATTCTCAAGTATTTTGAAAATTCCCACTGGAAAAAATATAACTTATTCTAAAAAAAAAATCAACATATTTGTAGATTTAGAATTACTCGAAATTTATTTCAAAGTAAAATTATGTCTCAGTGTGGAAAATGCTTATCTTAAAATATGAAATTTTATGCTTTGTTGCACTCTGCATAGTAAATTAAGTTAGAGGAAAGAGAAAAAAGATTCTAAAAAGTCAGTACGAAAGTCATATGCACACAGTCATGAGTGATACTTTCAACAACGCAAATGCTCCAGAGCATTTCACCAATTCCTACTACTCCCATTGCAAAGAAT